CCCGTGTGCTTTAATTTTATTCTAAAGTACCATTAGAGGTATATAGTGTACCTGTGGTTTCAAATCAGATGTGGTAACATGTTTGCTTTATAATAGGATCTTTGTATCAGTTATACATGCTATGCTTGTGCCCCACAATAAAACTGGATGGTCATTTTGATTTGGCACAGTTTGGTCACATAATGCGAGTTGGATTGTTTATGTGCCAGAGTTGTTATTTGCACCCATTTGAACTTTGAATATACAAAGTATGTCCAGATTATGAGAATAAAGTCCCTACACTTGAGAAGGGCTCTGTGAAGGGAGAAGTTGGTCAAGGTTACTTGGGGTAGGGTGGCAGGTATACGTTAGAACACTGATCAGTTGCATGCCAGCCCTGTCAGAGTCCAGATATTCTTTTTTTTTTATGACACCCAGTTTAATTGCCTCATATTAAGAAAAATGCAAGCAAGTTTGGAACAGTGGTACGTGATAACATTTTGTGTGAAATTGGGTAAAAGTGCATCAGAAACTTGGGAAATGGTGAGGAAAGCTTATGGAGAAAGTGCGCTATCATCTGCACAAGTGTACCAATGGCACAAAGCCTTCAAGGAAGGACTAGAAGGTGTTGAAGAAGAATAATGATCAGAACGCCCCTCCTTGTCAAAAACAGAACAGAAATTGGATGCAGTGAGGTCTGTTCTCAACCCTGACCAATGGCTCACTATCAGAATGATTGTAGAGGAAACGGGAATTACCAAGTCAATTGTTCATGAAATTGTAACTCAAGATTTGAACATGAGAAAAGTGTGTGCAAAACCTGTTCCAAAGAACTTGTCACCCGATCAGAAGGAACATTGTCAACTCATTTGCCAACACCTGTGGCTCGTATTCCATCGTCCCCTTTGGGTCTCCACGGGTTTAGCCCCCTGGTTTTTTAGTGGCATGCAAAATGTAAGAATGGGTTTTTAGTTCTCAAGGAAAGGGCAACAATAATTTTTTCATCACTGACACAACTCTTGTTAGTAGTTGCTTTATGTCAAATACGTTACCTAAATATTTATAGCATCAGTTGCCTCATTAGTACAGAATGTGTCACTAAATGTCAAGAATGTGACTTATGCATTACTGATCTGAAAATGTAGGATTGCAGAGAACGGCACCTCCAAATCCATACAAATTGCTCTTATTCCCACATCATATGAGTATGTGCTGCGACCAAGGCTATCTGCTGAATTGTTAGCTTTTTTACTCTTTATGATGTGGGAATAAAAGCAATTTATATGGATTTGGAGTGGCCGGCTCTTCCCTGCATTTCTATTGTACATGATGGCTGGAGGACCGTTTTGAGCCAGAGCACCCATTGATGGACTCCAGGTTTGATATTGGATGGCCTTCCTGTTGGGAGCGCTGCGCCCGTCTTTTAATCTGAAATGTCTGTGAGCCAATTAATTGAGTGTTGGTCTGCTCCAGGAAAAAAAAAAAGTTATATTGACATGAAATGTAAAGGCATGAATATGTAATTGGTGGCAATAGGTGACTGGTATGGACATCATGCAAGAAAATCTAACACACAGCACCTAAAAGTGGGACATAGAGTCAACCTTGGAGAGCAGCAGTATCTAATCTATGTGCCAAATGTTAGGTAAAGTTATGATGATTGACTTGATGGACAAGCCAGTTGTGAGATCACAGTTCCTATAATCTGTTGTAATTAAGGGCTCTCTTATGGAGTGCAGAGTCTAAACCAAATTTTCACCAAGGAGCCATTTAACAAAATTTGGATTTTACTGTATTACTACTGTTGTATTGTACTGTTGTTATCCTCCAGGTTCACCCCTTTGATGATGAGAAACAAGAATTTGTTCCATGATTAATTCAAGGTAAAAAAAAATATAATCCATTAAATGAAAGACAAGTCAAGGTCAGCAGCTTGCATCTGCTGAGCAGTATTTCAAATAAAGGACAAGATGTGGCCTAGATCACAACCAATGGATAACAGATCATGTCCAGAGTCCTGTAAGGAGAAGAATGCAGAGCTAGAAATTAGACAAAGTGAACACTATCAAGTAATGTATGTATACACTGGTGGTCCTTATACAGTAGGCCCATATACACTGTCTCATGTGAGCATCAACATAAGAACAGCACTTGTTTTCTGCACAGCACATGTAAATGTGTGCATTCTAACAGGTAACACACTTCTGAATGTACATGGATTGCTGGCCAACTACCACCTTTATAACTTTGGGCCTGTTCACACCTCCATGTTGCAGAAGCATGTGGAAAGACTTTTGTTTTAACAAAAGGCACACTAACAAACTGAGCATGGTGTGATACATTGCAGTATCATTGATTTTGTAAAATAAATTAGAGCAAAAGCAATTTTGCTTATGTTTTGGCATATGTAAAAAGAAAGGCCCATAATAATGCAGTGTGTCTACAATGTAACAATCATCCCAGGGAGGTGGGGGTATAATTAAATCTACACCCCAGGTAGATGTTAAAAGAACAATTTAATGTAACTATTTTAAAAATCACAGAATATACTTTTACATAATGTTAGCATAAATACCTACTGTAAATCTGTCTTAATCTGCCCTGATAATCAGCCTCCTATAAGCCCCTGCAGAATTGCCATGAGATGGGAGTGTCTGTTTCCTTGCACAGCACTGCCAGGCAGCATTTTTAATTAGTGTACCTTAGGGTACTCATCAGCGCACTTTATCCAATCACAATCTGAGAGTAGGTTAGCATCCAAACTATATTTGCTTCAAAGACACAGTGAAAATATATAAAGATACAGTGAAAAAACGCTCAACAAGAGCTACATCTCCATACAGGGACAGAAGAAAAGAGGCAAGAGGCGCCCGTCTGAGTGTAGTAATAACACTATATTTAATAGCAAAGGATTAATAACACTCACAAAAGAAGTAATAAAACAAGCTCATCTGTGTATATGAGAGATGACTGTTCCTCAAAATGTCCTGCAGGTGCCACTGGTGGTTGGTGCATTAGCACCTGGGCTGATGGAAACGGTGAGAGACACTGTAGTGGTCAATCCTACAGAGTGGTGGTGTTGTAGAGCCGATCCAGCAGCGTTTGTGCAGGAAGGAGCCTAGTAACCAGCCTGGAACACACTGGCAGGATGTGACATCACAGGAAGAGGCAGAGGGTCAGTGGGGAGGAAGAGCACAGACGTGGTTAAGTCAGGCTACGCGCTCGACGCCTCTAGCCCCTTCTGTAGGCCTCAACAGATTGCCTGAGATACTCTTATAAGGACTTATTGTACACGAATGCATTTACATGCCCTGTATTAAGTACTTGTATGCCAATATTACCATTATCATCTTTTACTTTATAATTTTTATCCTTTTCACCCTTACACTACTTTACTCCTGTGCGCCAGAGTTACTCGTTTTTTGGGCACTCTATATGTCTGGAGGAAAAGAGATTTAATTTCCAAATACAGAAAGGTTTCTTCAAAGTAAGAGCTGTGAAAATGTGGAATAGACTTCCTCAAGAGTTGGTTCTGGCCAGTTCAGTGGACTACTTTAGAAAAAGCCTGGATTCTTTCCTAGATACACAGAATATAACTGCATACTAACATTTATAGGTACAATTTGATCCAGGGAATATCCAATTGCCTCTCAGAGGGATCAGGCAGGATTTTTTTCCCCTGCAGGAGCAAATTGGATCATGCTTTGCTGAGTTTTTTTGCCTTCCTCTGGATCAACTGTGGGTATAGGATTTTAGCTTTTTTTTTTATTTTATGGTTGAAATAGATGGACTTTTTTCAGCCAGACTAGCTATGTAACTATGAAAACATGATGCAGAAAGGTGAGGCTACAATCCGGTTGTGCTTTCTGGCAGTGGTGCAGGACACACAAGGCTGGGAGAAATAAAAAGCTCTCATAGATACATTTTGTACACTTCAACTGTGTATTTAACTGTTGAAAGTTTTAGTTTAGGAACCAACATCCAATGCATGGTAGGTAAGTCTATTCATATACAATTCTGGTTAATTTAATAATTGTAAACTGCATAGTAAATTAACCAAGAGTAACATTTTGAATGTACAGTTTGCTTTCTGATACCACATTACTGGCCACATTTGTTCTATGCTGCCGTGTTCCAAACATGATACATGTAGGATACTATTACATTACACAGTGTAAAGAGAAATAATATACAGCCAAAAAAACCAATGAGCTGCTATTGGTAAAGTTATGACATACCATAGTTGATTAATACTATCTAAATATTTGTTTAATCTATTATTTCTAAGGAAATGCTAAGGTTCTGAAACTGAATCTTAGTTTGTAAATGTTCACAATATTTGTACATTCAGCTTCATGGATTTATACCAGTCTTTGTTTTCCATGGGGTTTGCTAATATGATGTACAACAGATGCTTTATGTTAACGTTAGTTAAGTGCTGATGGTGGGTATAAAATGTTCCTGCAGTGTGAAGTCAGTGTTCTCAGATGTGTGTGTATCATGTTTATACAGCTCTGAATTATGAAGACAAGAAATACAGGGTGATGTACAGGAATGCCTCAACTCACCAAGACTGTCTTTTGGGGGCACACAAATAAATTTAGCAGATCTGTAGTCTGGCCAAACTCCCACTCACTGCTCATTTACTTTCTTTTTTTTTCTTTTTTTTCTTTTTGGCTGTTGTCCATGTGACAATTATTTGCTCAGAATGATTAAGATATTAGGTACTCTAAGTCCAAATAATGCTCTAAGATCACCTTTTTACAGGCCTTTAGCAAGTGTGAGAGGAGCTAGCTATGAGCTAGTCATAATAATTAAAGAGTGGTTAGACATTAAGATGTAATGAAACTGGATAAAGATCTTTTTTTCTCACACCCACAAAAGTACAATACTGTATCTTGAGTACTGAGGCCTTCATCTTGATTTCTGCATTCACCAAAGGAAAAAAAAAAGCAGCCCATCCATTCGATAGAATGTTTGATCAAGCATGGTGCCCCATGAACAGGAACTGGAACAGTTGTTAAGCTCCCTGGCGTTATTCCCGAGTGTAGCTCGGGGTAAAGTTTCAGTACCACAAGCGGTAATCCCGAGCTACACTTGGGCTTACCATGGGGCGCTGCTCCGGGATCAGTTCTTCTCTTACCTTGTCCTGTGCTCCCGCGATGTCCCTCCTGCAGTGTCCCCAGCAATGTAATCCGGCAGATGCCGGCATCTGTCTTCTGGGTTCCGTCCCCTGCGATGTCAGGACGTACGGGGACGGAACCGGCGGAAATTTGAAAATGACAAAAAGTGACATTCACTAAAATCACATAGTAAAACATTACTGTATCAAAGCATTTCACATACATTTTGTCCCGAGTGCTTTGTCCTGTGCCCTGCCTGCAATTTTTACTGTTCTTTATGCCTGGAAACTGAGAAATGTCCATGGCGTCCAAAAAGCGTCCCTTTAGGTCAAAAGCGGTTTAGAGCAGCTAGAGAACAGCGATAGTAAATTAGAATCACTTGCAAAATTGAGTGATAATGATTAGTGGAGAAATTCGTCATCAGACACTGAAAACGATTTTCCGACTTTGCTCAGTGATGTACGAACTTGGTACTATATTTCAAAGTTCAGTGTTTTTGGTTTGATTATATTATTGAATTAAATTTATTATTATATTATTATTTTTTATGATTATTTATTAAATTATAATTTATGATTTCGTGTTTCAAATTTTATCATACCCGGGATGTTTACTAGACTCTTGTTCGGACTGATTTCAGTGAGTTATTCCTAAAAATTACAGGCCTACAATAAAAAAAATGACATATTTCCATGCAAAAAAATGTACCGCTTTGAGCACAGAAATATGGACATAATCAGACCGCTAGGGAGGTTAAAGTCCCATTAAGTGTTAATGCAAATCCTACAGACAGAGGCAGAGACATGCCACCTATTGAATGCTGGAAATCAGCACATTTATGCCCAATTAAATCCTGCCATACAAATTTATTCTCAAGTACTCAAAACAACAAATAGAAGCACTCATCACGGAATGACATGATGCTTGGGCAGAACTCAGAAAGCTCTCTAGTACCTTCCAGAAATCTAATGCTAATTGTAGGCTGGCAGAGTGAGGCTACATGCTGATTCTCTGAGTGGGAAAGGGCAGCTAAGACGAAGATGCATCTATCAAGGTATTTTTGCAAGATACATGTGTTTTCAGCTATAGGACCCCAGGCCTAGTAATTTTCAAACTTTTGGCCCTGATAACTAGTGTGAATAAGGTATCTGGCCAGTGTTTTATCTCTTACAATAAAGCACCTTCCTTGAATTTAACCAGTGCCTACAAAGAACCATCAATATTACTACTCAACACTTAATTAACACTGTCACTTGCCCATGAGGTGAAGGTGACAAAATTTCTAGAAAGCCCCACCTCCAGACCCCTATATTCTTGCCTTTTTCTGTGCTTCCTAGCAGCTTCTTCCTCCCTTTCTGCTCACACTGATATCAGTTATGTCAGCAACCTGGGGGAATGGTAGCAACCCCCTTCCTGGCCATGTGAGAGTATTCAGGCCTAGTGATTGGCTGCTAGGTATTGTCATCGGAAAGCAGGTCCTCCATACCTGAAAGTGCCATATATTCTGTCTCGTTGTGGAGGAGAAAGGAGCTGCAAGGGAAAGCAGGTAAGGTGACTATACAGGGTCAGGTGGGACATTTTCTGGAGTCCCTGAATATGCAAGGTGATAGTGTAGTGAACTTTATTACTTAACCCTCATCTCTAACACTTAAAGTAGACCTAAACCCTGCTATCCTTTACAGCCAAGGAAGCTGCCATCTTTGTCTCTGCTGGTCTGCATTTGTCATGGTGCTGCACACACGTGCAGCTCCATGTGTGCAGCTCCATGACAAGTGCAGACAAGCGCAACATTATCAGTAATGACACCAGCCATTGGATGTCTTGATAGTTTAGTTGAGAGCTAACATAAGCACACTAGTAACTGTAACAGTTCTCATTCAATGCATGCATTGCATTTAAAGTGGAAGGCAACTTATACTCCTCTTTCTGCCAATGGTCCCCATCCCTCGTCGGTACTAGCATCTTCTTTTGTGTGCTGCTTTTCGGTCATCTTAGCTGATCATTTTAGCTGAGCAGCCTATCATTTTCTGCACTTCTTTATATATTTTCCCCTCTCCAATCAACTTTTTAATCAAGGTACGCTGTTCTTCTGAACAATGTCTGGAACGACCTATTTTCCTCAGAATTTCAGAGAGAAATGCACTGTAACCAGCATGTACAACATTTTGCTGCCTTCCTTCCTTAAATAAGGGCAATAATTGCCACCTGTTTTTCAAAGAATGAATGACCTCACTAATAGAACTCCACACTGCTATTATTTTGAACATGCCCCTTTCAATTAGTGATTCAATTACACAGAATCAGCAGCATGCATGTCATGACTGTTGGGTCTGTTGGATTTCTATTACTCTACTACACCTGCTAGTAAATTAGTTGCCATGTAGAAATATCATTTCTACCAAAAACAGTGATTGATCAGGTTAGTGATGTCTGACTGCTATTATTTTGAACACAACTGTATATACAGGCTTACCTCGGTTTACAAATTTAATTCGTTCTGCGGGACTTTTCGTATTGCGCAAATTCGTAAACCGTGGTTTACCATAGGAATGCATTGAAAACCAATAAATCCGTTCCGGAGGTAAGAAAAAAGTAAAAAACAAGTATTTTACCTGTTCAAAACTCTTTATAAAGTGCACTTTAAAGGCATAAATACTGTACAGGGACATGATTAAAAATTAATTTGTAAATGCATTGAAAACCAATTATTCCGTTCCAGAGGTCAGAAAAAATTCAAAAAAAGTTGTATCTGTTAAAAACTCTTTATAAAGTGCACTTTAAAAGCATAGTACTGTACAGGGACATAATTAAGAAAAAATCATAAATGCATTGAAAACCAATTAATCCGTTCGTATTAGTAAACCGAGTCATTATTTTCAATGGATTTTCATTTGTAAACTGAAAATTACGTTAACTGAGGCATTCGTAAACCGAGGTACGCTTGTATACTGTATAGTTTATATGATATACAGTCAGGTCCATAAATATTGGGACATCAACACAATTCTAACATTTTTGGCTCTATACACCACCACAATGGATTTGAAATGAAACAAACAAGATGTGCTTTAACTGCAGACTGTCGGCTTTAATTTGAGGGTATTTACATCCAAATCAGGTGAACGGTGTAGGAATTACAACAGTTTGCATATGTGCCTCCCTCTTGTTAAGGGACCAAAAGTAATGGGACAATTGGCTTCTCAGGTGTTCCATGGCCAGGTGTGTGTTATTCTCTCATTATCCCAATTACAATGAGCAGATAAAAGGTCCAGAGTTCATTTCAAGATGAGATCCAAAGAGCTGTCACTATCAGTGAAGCAAGCCATCATTAGGCTGAAAAAACAAAACAAACCCATCAGAGAGATAGCAAAAACATTAGGCGTGGCCAAAACAACTGTTTGGAACATTCTTAAAAAGAAGGAACGCACCGGTGAGCTCAGCAACACCAAAAGACCCGGAAGACTACGGAAAACAACTATGGTGGATGACCGAAGAATTCTTTCCCTGGTGAAGAAAACACCCTTCACAATAGTTGGCCAGATCAAGCACACTCTCCAGGAGGTAGGTGTATGTGTGTCAAAGTCAACAATCAAGAGAAGACTTCACCAGAGTGAATACAGAGGGTTCGCCACAAGATGTAAACCATTGGTGAGCCTCAAAAACAGGAAAGCCAGATTAGAGTTTGCCAAAAGACATCTAAAAAAGCCTTCACAGTTCTGGAACAACATCCTATGGACAGATGAGACCAAGATCAACTTGTACCAGAGTGATGGGAAGAGAAGAGTATGGAGAAGGAAAGGAACTGCTCATGATCCTAAGCATACCACCTCATCAGTGAAGCATGGTGGTGGTAGTGTCATGACGTGGGCATGTATGGCTGCCAATGGAACTGGTTCTCTTGTATTTATTGATGATGTGACTGCTGACAAAAGCAGCAGGATGAATTCTGAAGTGTTTCGGGCAATATTATCTGCTCATATTCAGCCAAATGCTTCAGAACTCATTGGACGCCGCTTCACAGTGCAGATGGACAATGACCCAAAGCATACTGCAAAAGCAACCAAAGAGTTTTTTAAGGGAAAGAAGTGGAATGTTATGCAATGGCCAAGTCAGTCACCTGACCTGAATCCGATTGAGCATGCATTTCACTTGCTGAAGACAAAATTGAAGGGAAAATGCCCCAAGAACAAGCAGGAACTGAAGACAGTTGCAGTAGAGGCCTGGTAGAGTATCACCAGGGATGAAACCCAGCTCTGGTGATGTCTATGCGTTCCAGACTTCAGGCTTTAATTGACTGCAAAGGATTTGCAACAAAGTATTAAAAATTGAAAGTTTGATTTATGATTATTATTCTGTCCCATTACTTCTGGTCCCATAACAAGTGGGAGGCACATATGCAAACTGTTGTAATTCCTACACCGTTCACCTGATTTGGATGTAAATACCCTCAAATTAAAGCTGACAGTCTGCAATTAAAGCACATCTTGTTTGTTTCATTTCAAATCCATTGTGGTGGTGTATAAAGCCAAAAATGTTAGAATTGTGTCGATGTCCCAATATTTATGGACCTGACTGTATAAACACTATCCAAAATGGAATAAAAAGTATTCCTTATTCAACTTCTGACTAGTGTTATTATAAGCAACTATCAGTACAAACGAAGAGTGTCCATCCCCAGTCCTGGAGGACCATATTAGGTCATGATTATAAGACATTTTACATAGTGATCCACACCTTATTCTATTCTTTACTGTTTGTTAATTAGATGCTCTGTGAATGAAAAAATCCCAGCTTGCAAGAGTGTTACAAAACCCTTGTATGAATTATTAAAACCCATTTGTAAACACAGTGTTCTCCAGAACTTCGTTTTAATAAGTGAACCCCTGCTTACAAAAATAGAATTCAATAATGACTCACTGAAATATAACTGAATACAAAAATATGGCAGTGGACCTCTATATTTAAGTAATTGCACAGGAATAGCATCCCAACATCATGTGCAGAGCAATCAACTGTTCTTGGACTTTAAGGTCAGAGGGGTCAAAACATAGATACTGTTTCTTTTGTTTACAAAGCTATACAGTATGTTCACATTCCATAAAGATTTTTCTCTCTTGATATCTGCAATTGGAGCCTCTTGTACAGCATTTCATAACCAGGGTTCCTTCACAGGTTGTTAGGGGTCGCTAAACTGATAATATTGTTCGGGATTTCAGTTTACTTCA